GATGCAAACTTCCAGAACATAATCCTAATCCTAAAAAAGGATTAAAATGTAAATGTGATTTTAAAGATCTTTCAAAAATTTGCAATTATTGTAATGAAAATTGTGAAAGACCTTTTACACGTATTGACAAAGATCCAATCATATCTGGACCTTTTTTGTTTGCTTTTGATGAATCTAAATTTGAAAAGGAAAAACCAAATTTTTATAAAGAAGCGATTGTTAAAGTTCTAAAAGGAGAAGATGTAGATGAAGTTATTGTTGATTTATCTGAAAATTGTGAAAAATGGGGACATACTATAAATGGTTTACGTGATATTGCAAAATCACAAAAGAAAAAAATTATAAATCCTCTTAGAAATATTAATCGATATTGGGAACCATGTGTTTTTTATGTATATGGGGATAATGGAACTGGAAAAAGTGATTTTTTTTCAGAATTATTTCCTGGATATTACGAAAGAGATGACATGAAACAATAGGAAAAATATAATAATGATGAGTTTGATTATGATCATGATATTGCAATTTTAATAGATGATTTTTATGGTGGAATGTCCTAGACTAATTTATTAAAATTAACAGATAGAAAACATTGTCGATTTGATGTTAAATATGATAAAACTGAAATTGTTGGGATGTATATTTGTATAACTGCAAACGGTCCTATAGATAATCTTTATAAAAAATTACGTGAAAGTAATTTATCTATAGATATTAATATACTATATCGTAGAATTAGATTTATTATAAAATTTGAAGGAGAACCTATAGATCCGAGAATTGGAGATGGAGATATTTTACGAATATATGAAAAAGGAAATAAGCAAGATGTAAATAATAGAATCTTTGATATTGAATTTAATAGAGGTACATCTTTAGATGAAGTTAAAAAAGTAACCTTAGATCTTGGAATTGAAGGTGAAATTTATCAAGATAAATTGACAAATCTATATTATTGGAGGCGAATTTGGAATAACAAGATTAATGAATATTCAACTATTGAAGATATCGATGAGATTACAGATAGAGTTATAACACAAATTCCAAAATCAACTTCTGGTGAAAGAATCTTAGTAGCTTCAAGTAAAGATAAAGATTCAAAACAAGAAAAAAATCAAGAATTAGATATTAATTTAAATAATTTAGATTAAAATACAAATCATGAATCAGATTCTTCATTATCATCTAATGACTCTATTCAAACAAGAAAAAGAAAAAAAGGAAAACAAGTAATTAAAAATAATGAAGTAATTAAATCTGATAATATTGATATAGATTTGGAACAAGCACGAATTAGATCTAATTACAATGAATTAAATAATAAAAAAAGAAAATTAGATAATTTTTTAGAAACTAACAAATTATTAGAAGATAATAATTTTGATATCAGTGAAAGTTCGAGTAAAGAAATTAAAAGAATTAGAAACGATCAAGGATTAAATAGATTACTCAAAAAGATTTAGTTAATTTTTATTTTTAAAATATATATATTAGATAAATTATATTTATATTATTATTTTTATTTTAATAAATCTAAAAAATCATTCCATAAATTATTATCATGTTTACGTCTATATATGAATTCCTGAAGATATTTATTTATCAAATGTTCTTTTCTATTTCTTTTTAATATGAAAATCTTAAGACCATTCCAACACCCTTCAATGGTATTAGTATGAATACCAAAAGTTTCTCCTTGAGCTCTTGAATGATTAACACGTCTGTGAATAATATCTAATCCCTGTAACTGATATGCTTTCCAACAATCTGTAAATACTATAGATTTTGGTTTCACATGATTCTCTATGATTCTTCTTAATGTTGATGTATTCCTGTCTTTAACTACTTCAAAATAACATTTCTTTTCTTTTGTTCGTTCTACAATTCCGACTACCCAAAAATTCTTAAACAAACTTTCATCGACCTCTACTATAACTCTATTTCCTCCAAGTAAAAAATCATCTTCTTGCAGACTATTAATTGCTAATTCTCTAAAAATACTAATATATTTCTCTATAGTTGCACTTGAATATGAAGTCATATAACTGATCGATGAATAATTAATCTTGTTTAACCAAAAATATAATATCAATAGAATATCACAACTTTTGATTTTACTATTGTCAAAAATAGTATTCTTGTAGATACTTAAAGTTTTTTCACAGTTTTTGCATCTGTATAATTTCAATTGATACTTATTCATTTCAATATTATTACAATTTTGACATCTTGGTTTTTTAACTATATTTTTATCAAACAGAAATTTAATACATTCACTCTCATCGAACAGAATTTTGCTTAAAGGTTTTAAGAGAATTTTAGGCATTTTTTGTTTGTTATAAAAATAAATTTAGGTTAATTTATATAAATTATATTATTTTTTTTTCGTGATAAATTTTAATCATGTGATATATTATTATTTATATTTTTTGTTATGCAGTAAATTTTATGACGTTTCAAAAAAAATTTTATAAAAAAATTTCTGTAATCATTTCACAAAATCTTGTAAAACATCACAAATTTAACAATTATATTGTGATAATTCTAAACAAAGACTTTCTTTGTTAACAAATTCGTATTATTTATCATTGTTGTCTGCATGCAGAATCAAGTTTTGTTTACGTGTTTGATCATTATAAATAACAAAAAAAGATGATCTTTT